GATGTGGGACTCGATCCCGGGACTCCAGGATCATGACCTGAGCCGAAGGCAGTCACTTAACCAACTGAGCCACCCAGGCACCCCCACAATAGTTTTTTTTTTTTGAGATTTTTTTTTTTTTATTTGAGAGAGAGAGCACGAACAGGAGGGAGGGGGGCAGAGGGAGAGGGAGAAGCAGACTCCCTGCTGAGCAGGGAGCCAGATGTGGGGCTCAATCCCAGGACCCTGAGATCATGACCTGAGCCTGAGCGGAAGGCAGACACTTAACTGACTGAACCACCAGGCAACCCTCTAGTCCACCTTCTTAAAGCTGCTTAGGAAATTGAGATCAATCCCTATCCCCTGAGATTCAGGATTAGGAAGTCTGCAGTGGGGCCTAGAAATCTGCATTTGTAAGTACCTGGAAGGTTTTGAGACAAATGTTCTGTCGGATACATGTTGAGAAACACTAATCTCTTGGACCCAGTAACCACTCAGTAAATATGCTGATTTATTTGTTGAATTATCAAGACTAACTTGGGAAGGGGCACCTGGGTGGCTCAGCCATTAACTGTCTGCCTTAGGCTCAGGTCATGATCCCAGAGTCCTGGGATCGAGCCCTGCATCAGGCTCCCTGCTCAGCGGGGGCTTGCTTCTCCCTCTCCCACTCCCCCTGCTTGTGTTCCCTCTCTCGCTATATCTCTCTCTGTCAAATAAATAAATAAAATCTTAAAAAAAAAAAAGACTAACTTGGGAAATAGGCCCCATGAAGAATCAAATTAACTGAGATTAACAAGATGAAATTATTAGTAGACTTTATTTTTTTTTAAGATTTTATTTATTTATTTGACAGAGAGCGAAAGAGGGAATACAAGAAGGGGGAGTGGGAGAGGGAGAAGCAGGCTTCCCGCTGAGCAGGGAGCCCAATGCGGGGCTCAACCCCAGGACCCCGGGACCACGACTTAAGCCTAAGGCAAACACTTAATGACTGAGCCACCCAAGCACCCTAATAGACTTTAAATCTTAGGGGACTGAATGAATTTTAGCACTAAACTATTATTGCCATTCCAACCTGGCCTTAGCTCCCTATCTTAACAGACTCACTTTCAAGTTTCTTTCAAGGCAAGAAGCAGAAGGTCCTCAGAAAAATTCTACATTGATTTGTCTTTATATGTACTTCCTTTCCAATACCTTTTCTCCGCTTTTCAATCATTCTCATTTTCCATATCCAGGGCTCTTACATTATCCCAGTAAACCCTGGGGTGGAGGGATGGGGGGGAGCTGATTAGCATTATTAGCATTATTATATATAGAAACTTAAATAAGCTTAAATACATAAACTTAATATGTTTGTTCCCAAGAGAATATATTTTTTAAAGACGGCAGTGCTGGGGCGCCTGGGTGGCTCAGTCGTTAAGCGTCTGCCTTCGGCTCAGGTCATGATCCCAGGGTCCTGGGATCCAGCCCCGCATCGGGCTCTCTGCTCCGCGGGAAGCCTGCTTCTCCCTCTCCCACTCTCCCTGCTTGTGTTCCCTCTCTCGCTGTGTCTCTCTCTGTCAAATAAATAAAATTAAAAAAAAATAATAATAATAAAGACGGCAGTGCTTAACACATGAAATTTCAAACATCTCTAATGGAAACTTTACACTTTCGGAAAATAGAATCTGCCTTTCAGTTTATTTACTGGATAGAGTCCCTAGAAGGTTAGAGGTCTGGCATAAGGTACTATTGGCCCCAAAGATTTGAATCACCTGCTGTTATCAAAGAAACCCAGGTTCTACTGCAGGCATTTGCGGGATTTCTATTGGTCTTTCACATTGATGGGGGAGATTAAGAGCAGGCAGTTAGGCACCAGCTCGTAGGAAGCTGAGCCCTAGTACAGCCTCAGCCTTCTTAACAGGTTAGTATAGTTCTACTGGATCTTTTTCACTCGCATTTCTTATCCTCCTGAAAATTTTGTTGAAGACTCTCCCTACAAAGCTGATCTAGTTTGTTCCTGTTCCCTAATATATACTCACCAACCTAGCAGGGAACCCTGGAACAGGAACAAACTAGATCAGTGTTCCCTAATATATACTCCCCAACCTAGTAGTCTACTGCGCATGTGCCATGTTCATTTCTGCCTTTCTCACTTAAGTATGTATGCTTTCCCTCTAGCTGACCCAAATCCTAGTCAATCTTCTGGATCTGGCTCAAAGAGTCCTAAGTCGAGCCCTTGCTGCACTACAACAGTACTTGGTCTCTACCACGTATCTCACATCTAAATTAGGTCCCACCTTGATACGCCTATTTCATGTTATCCTGCCACCTCAGCTGAACTGTGAGATTGCTGGAGCCTGGAAACACTTGTTTCCTTGTACTTGGTATATGAGAAAAGCCTACATTTTGGCATCAGACAGAATTTGGGGCTTGAATATTGTTGAGTCCAGTGGACTAAGCCTTATGACTTAGAGGCAAAGAGCCCAGGTCTGGAGCCAGAAAGCTTGAGGCCACATCCCAACTCTATCATTTAGCAGCTCTGATCCAGTTTCCCTGCCTGCAAAGTGGAGAGGATATTGAGAATCGTTCCTATCGCATGCAGATATTGCGTGTATTAAATAAGTTACGACATGTGACATGATGACCTAGTTATTTACTATGTACCACGTACTTTAAGGGCTTTACATGTATTACCTCAAATAATATTAATCATGTCACCCAAACATGTACTACCTTTGTAACTTTAGGGTATCTATCACCACTGAGTTGGTTTCCTAATCTATAAAACAGTGGTAATCTCTCATATACCTATAGAAGTGGTTAGATGATATGGTGTTTGTAAACATTCGGCTCAAGGCCTGGTATGCTGGATTAAGAATGCCAAAAAGAAAGTAAAATTTTGGGTCTTTTAGTATGTAGTGAGCTTATGTCACTTTTGTGAAATTCTACTTGGCACCCCATAAAGAAAAAGGCCAGGTTTAAAGATGGGACTAATCATTCCAACTAGTAGTCTTTAGAGAAACTTCACTGGAAAGATCATGCAGCAGTTCCTCCTGGAAACTGGAAGAACCCTCCTGAGGATGGCTTAATTACGTCAGAGCAGGGTCTCGTAATCCTGGCTACAAATTAGAATCCCCTGGGGAACTCCTTTAAAGCCAGTTAGCCAGACTCCATTTGTGAAGATTCTGATCCAATAGTTTTGGAAGATCTGTCACTTTAAAACTACTCAGTGATTCTCCTGCACAACCAAGATTGAAATCCACCTCTTCGAGACTTAACTATGACATCAAAAACTTCCAAACCTCTGAGAAACCATAGACCATATGCTGGGAGAAGAGGAATTGAGTAGCTTGAACAGAAAGTTGATTCACATCACTTGACAAAGGTACTTTGCTTTCCCTCTCCCCAAACTTCAGCTATTTGCCTTGTTTTGACCTACAGAAGGACTGTTTGCCTCTTCAGATTCAGACACTTCCCTTCAGATTCTTGAGAGACACTGCTTCAAGAATAAGATAGGTCTCAAGAGCCTTTAGACTCGGTTTAACTGTCAAGGTAGCATCAAAGCTGGAATCCTCTTGCCAAGTCTAACATGTATTAAACCAAATGGCCTCCATTATTATCTTGGCCTCCCAACATGGGATATTCAGCTATCAAGAATTAGGCATAGTATCAAAGCTCTTCTTCTATTATCTTTAAGAATCTAAAGATAACCACACAATATTGGATTATACTGCAAACTTTATTTTCCAGAAAGCCAATTCACTTTATAATAAGTGTTTGTGGCTCTAATATTATCATTAATATGCAGTGCACGCTTGGGCACCTGGGTGGCTCAGTTGGTTAAGCAACTGCCTTCGGCTCAGGTCATGATCCTGGAGTCCCGGGATCGAGTCCCACATCGGACTCCCTGCTCAGCGGGGAGTCTGCTTCTCCCTCTGACCCTCCCCCCTCTCATGCACTTTCTCTCTCTCTCTCTCTCCCTCATTCTCTCTCTCAAATAAATAAATAAACTTTTAAAAAAAAAAATATGCAGTGTAAGCTTTAAAGAGCCACCCTGACTTATGTTCCTGAAAGGTACCTGAGTCTAAATCCCTGGACTTAATCATCTAAATGCCCTCAGGAAAATCTGACATTTAACAGTCTAGCTCTGTGCCATTTGTCTATGCCCTAGGCATGATGCAAAGCAGAATTGAAACGGGCTATTCTAGGCACTTTTCTATCCTTCCTGCTCATGCCAGTCTGCCTTGATCTTTTCCCCCCATCAGACTATGTGTCCCTGCTCTGCAGAAATCTCAGCTATAGCTGTTGCCTGGAAACTTGGGAATCCTTGAAGTGAGTATCTGCTAGGATAGCTAAAGACAGCTAGCCATAAGGGAAAGTAGGCCTCCTATTGGCAGTAAAATGTGGCAGATTTGAGATGGTATATTCTTAGTTCACTTCTAGGAGTCTTCATATGTTAATACCTACAACTTTAGAGATTTCAGACTGGCATTCTCAGATAATTATAAAGTAACCTGAACTTGAACATGGTACTGTTCATTCTTCTGATCGCCTCTCCCCAAAATGGCTGTGCTGATCTGACAAGTAGCATCCTTCTCTAACAAAGAGCTTAATTTAGATAGATTTGGCAAAGAGATGGGAGGGAGCAATGCTGAACAGTAAAGGAACCAGCTGCCCCAGCCTTGCTTTCTCAACACTCAAGCTGATGGTGTTAAACTTCATCATACCCCAGTACTGTGAGCTTTCCAAGGAGTCCTGCCTGTTTAATACTCTATTTGAGGGCAAAGAATTCTATTCAAAACAACCTATATGACTAAAATATATGTACAATGTTAATTTTTGGTTTTCCAAGGCATATAAGCAGTGAAGTTCTATTACCTAACTGACTAGGCTATTGCTTTAGTCATCACAAACTTCCATAGCAAGATACCCACATCTCTCACTATTCTTTTGAGAACAGAAAGTAGGCCTATGTCAAAGCTACCTGATCTTAAATGTCAATACTTCTTTTGCCAACCCATGGTTCCTACTATTTAGGCCTCATGGAGCCAGAAGCCTTAGAAATATGTCCTTATGACCCAAACCACAGGATGCCAGCCAGCAGGTTACAGTACCATCTGGCATCATGTAGAAAGGTAAGTTTTCCTGATTAAAAAAAAAGGGGGGTGGCGCCTGGGTGGCTCAGTTGGTTAAGCAACTGCCTTCAGCTCAGGTCATGATTCTGGAGTCCCGCATCGGGCTCCCTGCTCATCGGGGAGTCTGCTTCTCCCTCTGACCCTCCCCCCTCTCATGTTCTCTCTCTCTCATTCTCTCTCTCAAATAAATCTTAAAAAAAAAAGTTTAGTCACTGGAGCGAGAAAAATAAACTCAAAACAAAAAGTTAAAGGTTTTTTTTGTTGTTGTTGTTTTTGTTTTAAGAACAAGCTTCTGACCATACATAGCACTTAGCAGTTCTTAATGTTGGAAATGGTTTGTCTTAAGCATTTCCAGAAAGGAATGAAGGGTGGAATACAGGCATTGTATAATGGCCACTTAACGAGAGCTTTTTCTCTTTTAGAAAAATCCGAAGATAGCTAAAAAGATGGCTAACTGCAAATATAATGCTTGCCATGTGGTCCCAATCAAAAGGCTCAAGGAACATGAGGCTAACTGTGTCAATAGAACTGCTATAGATGATGGTACATTTTTTTTTAATTTGAGGGGGCAGATAAGTGACATCAAGGGCTATCACCCCCTACCCTCCATATTTCATAACTATGGAAGTCTTAGCCAAATGAGAGGAATGAAAAACAAAAGGAAGTTTCTACTCTTCTTCTATAACTTCTGGTCTGCTTTATTTCAGAGCCATTTAATCTTCCAAAGGTTATTTCTCCAAGTTTGGAACCAAATGAAAAACTTTCTAATACTGCCAATCAGATCCTTGACCCTGATGTCTGGAACATAGGTGAGCAAGGGTGAATCAGTGAACAGTCATAAATGAAGGCTTGGACCCCAAGTCCTTCGTAGCTAATTAAGTACTGTAGTCCTGGATAAATTAAGTCTTAATACTCCTCCCACAAAATCCTTCAAAACAATCCAACAAATCTGAGAATTTCATCTGTCTCTGAAGAGGCAACCCAGCAAAAAGGAATCTAATTAAAACCTAAAATCACTTATAACAGTTTAAAGAATCTTGTCTTACCAATATCTGATCACTTTCCACAGAACAAAAGTATTTGGTATAAATTGAAACTTGTATTCTGAAAGGTTTGGGTTTATCCTATCTCAGGTGATATCCTTTCTCTAAAATGTAGCACGTTAGGGCACCTGGGCGGCTCAGTTGGTTAAGTGACTGCCTTTGGCTCAGGTCATGATCCCGAGATCCTGGGATCAAGCCCCACATCAGGCTCCCTGCTCAGTAGGGAGCCTGCTTCTCTTCTCTCTCCCTCTGCCGCTCCCCCTGCTTGTGTTCTCTCTCTCTCTGTGTCAAATAAATAAAAATCTTAAGGGTGCCTGGGTGGCTCAGATGGTTAAGCATCTGCCTTCAGCTCAGGTCATGATCCCAGAGTCCTGGGATCGGGTCCCGCATCGGGCTCCCTGCTCCTTGGGAGCCTGCTTCTCCCTCTGCCTCTCTCTCTCTCTGTCTCTCATGAATAAATAAATAAAATCTTTTAAAATAAATAAATAAATATCTTAAAAAAATAAAATAAGGGGCACCTGGGTGGCTCAGTTGGTTAAGCGACTGCCTTCGGCTCGAGTCATGGTCCCGGAGTCCCGGGATCAAGTCCCGCGTGGGGCTCCCTGCTCAGCGAGGAGCCTGCTTCTCCCTCTGACCCAACCCCCTCTCATGTACTCTCTTTCTCTCTCCCCCCCCATTCTCGCTCTCTCAAATAAATAAATCTTTAAAAAAATAAAATAAAATGTAGCACATTATAAAAGACAATATAATAGAGTAATGCAAGTTCCTTTAACAGAAAAAGTTCAAATTGTATTGATATCATGGTTTAATACAACAGATGTTTCCTTGTATAAAAAAGCCCAATGCAAGTATTCAGTGGGGATCGTGGCTTGAGAACACAGGCTCTTTTCATCTTGTGACTGTCACCTTCCACACTTGGCTTCCCAAACTGCCACAAAAAGAGAATGGAGGTACAGGTGCCCCTTAAGCATCTTGGCCCCGAAGAAAATACTTCCAGTCACATTCCATTGGCAAAAACTAGTCATATGACAATACCCAAGTCAAGTTGGTAAGAATGCAGTCCCTGGCAAAGCAGCCAATTCCCAGCAACAACTATGGAAGGGAGATTCAAATCTCTTCTGCCAGTGGCTTTCTCTGCAACAATATAAAAATGCTTAGTCCTTGTATCACGTCTCCATCCTCTCTTTCTTTCTAGATAACACTCATCATTCTCCTTCATTTGTTCTTAAGACATTTGCTCCAAAAATGCTGGTCTGTGAAAGGTAAGATAAATCATCTTATATAAGTTATTGGAACAGAGAGCAAAATACCTTTAAATTTGACTTTTAAAGTGAGCTGGCCACTAGGTCAGAGGCATGGCAAATGCCTAAACTTCAATTATGAATTTTGAAAGATCTGTACTCATGGGCTCTGAGTACTTCCATTCCCTCCCTAAGTCTCACTTAGGACTTTAATCCATTAAGGACTTGACTACAGAAGGTTCTCAATTCTATGTAAGATTTTCAAGGAATAAAAAACCAATTCGTAAAATTTGGAAGGGAAAATAATTAGTACACTATACATGAAATAAACTAACAAGGATCCTCAACCTAACAAACTTGAAGGGCACATCTAAGGGTTAGAGAAGCCATCAATGGAGTTACCCAGGGGGACAGGAAGTACAAAGGAACTATATAATATAGAAGCTTGCACAAAATCAATAATTCCTACTCTGACCTTTAATAATATCAACCATTTTTGATAAAGTAATTTAAATCTCCTAGAACTGGTTATCTAGACTAAATCTCTAGTTCTGGTCTTCAACTAACTTTCCCTTTTTGATCGTCATCTACAGTGACTCAAGAGACATAAAAAAAGAGACTATGGATGACAAACATCCTAACAACTATAAGTCCTGGAGAAAGGGTAGAGTAACTTTTTTAAACATAGTTTTTTAACATAGTTTTAACTAATACCACTAATGTATTCTAAATCTTCAAAGATTCTTAGACAAACTTTTATTCTTTAAAAAAATAAACCTATTGGGGCGCCTGGGTGGCTCAGTCAGTTAAGCATCTGCCTTCGGCTCAGGTCATGATCCCAGAGTCCTGGGATCAAGCCCCACATCGGGCTCCCCGCTCAGCGGAGAAACTGCTTCTCCCTCTCCCACTCTCTCTACTTGTGTTCCTTCTCTTGCTGTGTGTCTCTCTGTCAAATAAATAATCTTTAAAAAATATAAATAAAAAAAAATTAAACCTATTTTCTATTCTAAGTCCTTCTTCCCCCGTAATAGAAAGCAGGGAAAGTCCCAGTGGCTTTAAGTGAGACTGTGGAGAAAAAGCTATCTAGAACTCTATTTGAAATGCAACTAATGCACATCAAGTTTAGGTCTTCCATAAAAACACTTTCACAATGACATTATCTTAATGTTCTTTTTCTACCCATAGGTCAGAAAAACTAATGGAGAAGCTATGGATTAAAGAGCCAGCAGAAACAAAATTTATTGTCTTTTCTTAAACTTTGGGGAAATCTTAACTCCATTAGGTAACAACTCCATCATTGTTGGCATCTTAACATGTTTTTATTTATTTAAATAAAGAATATTTTTCCTATGACAAGCTTCATTGGATATTTTTATTCTTCCTTGTTTTCACATCCTCATTTGTCAACCAAAAGGCTAGAAGGCTTATTCACCTATTTCCCTTATTAGTAGAAGAAATACAGCTATCATGTGTGCTATGCTATTCTGTTGGAGGTTCTTTATCCTCCAATTATTTTTCTCCTACTCCAAGTCTTGTACTATATGACCATCAGATCAACCTTCTTCAATCAGTTTTGTACAAATCTTCCATGCTTAAAAGATACAGTTTTGGGGGGCACCTGGCTGGCACAGTCAGTAGACCATGTGACTCTTGACCTCGGCGTCGTGAGTTCAAACCCCACGTTGGGTGTGGGGCTTACTTTAAAAAACAGAACAGAACAAAAGCTACAGCTTTTATGACAAGCTGAGTTTGGAGCATGTCTCCAAATCTCCCTTCTTAACTCTTAGAAGTCCGTTTACTCCCATCTTAAATACACCTTATTCTTTTTACTCTGTTCATTTTAAAATGTCATCCCTTAGCCCTTCAATCATTGAAAGCCCTTTCTAGTTTTGTGGGGGGTTTTTTAAGTTTTTTTTTAATTCTTAATCCTCACCACATTTAAATCTTCCAGGCATCCAGCCTCAATCATACCACAAACCTTCCCAAGAGAAGTCAGAATTACATGCTACTTTATATTTGCTATACCATATACCACTAGCCTGGTGCTATGCATGTAGTAGATATTCACATACTTGGTACTTAAACTGAACCGAGACCCAATTTATAACAGGCCAAAATTTGTTCCTCTTAAGCTGTATTTTTTTTTTTTTTCAGCTAGCTAATTTTAAAATAATGACCTTGGTTTGTTGCTAGTTTACCAATTGGTTCAGGTATATTTAGACTTATAATTAAAAGTAGAAGTTATAACCAAATGGATATTTTTTGCCCTTAGAAGTCTTATCCCGGGGTGCCTGGGTGGCTCAGTCGTTAAGCGTCTGCCTTCGGCTCAGGTCATGATCCCAGCATCCTGGGATTGAGCCCGGCATCGGGCATCGGGCTCCCTGCTCAGCAGGAAGCCTGCTTCTCCAACTCCCCCTGCTTGTGTTCCTGCTCTCGCGATCTGTCTGTCAAATAAATAAATAAAATCTTTAAAAAAAAGAGAAGTCTTATCCCTACCTAAGTATTTTCTAGATCCTTTTCAAATGATCTGTTTCTTCCCCCTTCAATTAAAGCAGAAAACAGAAGGGAGAAAAACTAGATACTTTTAGTATCTACCACATTCTAGTATACTTTGTACAAAGGAGGGCTACTGACTTGCTCCCTTAGATTTACATAATATAAACAAGATTTTTATCTCTTGACTAAGGTCTTACACATATTTTGAATTTTTTTATAT